AAAAGGGTGGCGGGGAGGTGAAGGGAATTGGGGAGAGGACGAGGGAGGGGGACAGTGACGCTAAAGGGGAGAGCTAGGGGGACTTCTTGGGGAAGGAAAGGGGGCAGAGGGCTGAGGCGAAGGGGAGAGCAAGAAAGTGAACCTCGGGCGGGTGGAAAAGGTAAGAACTGGGGTAAACCGGTTAAAGAGTTAATATGACATAGAGAGTTGGAAGGGACCTTAGAGGTCATCTAGTCCAACCTCCTGCTCAAGCAGAAAACCTTCAAACCATTTCAGATACTCCTCCACTTACAACGGTCCATTTAGTGACCGTTCAAAAGTGACGTAGGACCGTTTTTTCACACGCGATCAAAAATACGGACCCTCGGCAAACTGACTCGTATTTATGACGGTCGCGATGTCCTGGCGTCACGTGATCGATCCCCTTTTGCAACCGTCTGACCAGCAAAGTCGATCGGGGAAACTAGATTCACTTAACAGCTGTCTTGCTGACTTAACACCTGCAGTGATTCACTTAACGAATGTGCCAAGAAGGGTCATAAAATGGGGTAAAACTCGCTTAACCAATGTCTCACTTAGCAACAGGAATATGTGATCAGTTGTGGTCGTAAGTCAAGGACTACCTGTAAATGGCTGTCCAATCTCTTCTTGACAAACCTCCAATGATGGAGCATTCACAGTGTCTGGAGGCAAGTCGTTCCACTGGTTAATTGTTCTATCTGTCAGAAAATGTCTCCCTAGTTCTAGATTGGCCCTCTCCTTTCCATCCATTGCTTCTTGTTCCTGCCTTCTGGTGCTTTGGAGAATAGCTGGACTCCCTCTTCTTTGGGGCAGCACCTCAAATATTGGAAGACTGCTGTCATGTCACCCCTAGCCCTTCTTTTCATTAAACTAGACATACTCAATTCCTGCAACCATTCTTGATATTTTTTAGCCTCCGATCCCCTAATCATTTCAATCATTTGCTCTTCTCTGCACTCTTTCCAGAGTCTCAACATATTTTTCATATTGTGGCAACCAAAACTGAATGCAGTTCAGAGTGTCAAAAGGAGACACGGGAGGGCATCCTGGAGCAGGGATAGGTAGTCTACGAGAGTATCGAGAGTATCGTTCTCAGGGGAGCTAAAGGAGGAACGGGACTGGGGAGAAATGTGGGGTGTTAATATTAGGTGATATTGGAGGGGGGGAGGCTGGAAAGATCTGACCATCCTTATCTCCTGGTGACTTTGAGGTATGTAGCTGTTCTTTTTACAAGGTTGCTGTTGCTGGGGTAAAGAGAGAGAGGTCCCCTAAGCTGCCTTGGATGGTATAAGCAAAGCCAAAATATATACTTTTAGTAAATAATATAAATTCAGGTTATATGAAAAGATGGAGTAGGAAACAAATAAGGCTGGGACTGAATACAAAGTACAAAAATTTTAGGGGAAGTTGTGGGAGGACTGGGGGAAAAAAATGAAGTAAATTAAAGGTAACACAAGGGGACAAATTGAAAGGGGTTACGGTCTGGGGAGGAGTCAGAGGGAAGAAACTGGGAGAATGAAGGCTGGATATATGCCCAGAGTTGAGATAAAATGGAAAGAGATGGCAAATTTAAGGAAAACTTGGATGGGAATGTAGTTAGATTTAAAAATTATTTATATCCTGGCCTTATTATTTTTACAAATAACTTAAAGTGGCAAACACACACATCATACCTTTCTCCTATTTTCTCCACACCAATCCTGTGCAGTGGGTTGGGCTGATTGAGAGCGAGTGACCTATTATCACCCACCGAACTTTCATGCCTAAAGTGGGACTAGAACTCACGGTCTCTTGGTGAATGGCCCAAAGACACCCAGCTGGCTTTCATGGCTAAGACAGAACTGGAACTTATAGTCTTCTGCTTTCTAGCCTAATACCTTAACCATTATACCAAACTGACCCTTTTTTCCTTAATAGTCATCCTAACCTTGGATTAACTCAAGACTGTTGTGGTGCAATGCCCAAAGTAGTAAACCAGGCAGGACTCGAATTCACAGTCTCCTGGTTTCCAGCCTGGTGCCTTTACCGCTAGACCAAACTAGCTTAGTACAGGTAGACAGTTAGTCCACATATTGCAAGGTCCCTAATTTTGCTTCAGCTTTTTATGTCAACTGCTCCATCTTAAACCAGAGTTTTTCAAACTTAGGTATTTTAAGATGTGTGGAGTTGAACTTCACATATCTTGAGTTCACAAGTTTGGAAAACACTGGCTTATTCCAGAAAGTGGCCAATTTTCCTGGACATCACTTTTGATTTAATGATTTAATTTTTAATACTGCAACGTTCCAAATACACTCCCAGCAGTTTATACTTAAACTAAAATACCACCAATCAATTGTTTAAAAAGTTAAAGAATAAGTTAATCAACAAGAGCCACCTGTGCCCAATCCCAATAATAACAGTCACATAACACATCTCATCAGGGCAGGTGACAACTGAATGTCTAGTGGGAGTCTGCTTCAAATGGAAGGGTCTTCAAAAGTGAAAATGCAACCCTCCCCAATTCCTTAAATGGGTACCTTAAGAATCCCTTCCCATTAGGAGTTTATAGGACAGATTACTTCTACTTGAAAGAGATACCTGGGGGAGGTGCTATATGTTAAAATCAGTATTTTGAATTTTACCCAGAAACTTACTGGTAGCCTATTACCTGCAAATCTGTTTTATAGTGTTATAACAGCTCTCAAGAGGATCTGTATTTTGTACGAATTGCAGTTTCAAAGTAGCTTTCAAAGTAGTCCATATAATGCACATTGCAATGTAATCCAGTTTTAATGCATAAAGATATGAATTATTGTGAATACCCAGTGGAGGAAAGAATGGCTATGAGGATTAAATTAAAAAAATAGTCAAAATGTAGGCCACTTAAGAGAAATAATGCTAAAGGACAAAATGAGGAATGAACTCAAGTGTTGGGTGTGATGCCATCATAAAAAGTAAGTGGAATAGAACATGGGAATAAAAGCAGAATTTTAACAGAATAAAGAACATCACTGGGCAACATTAAAGTATGTTGAGTGTGCAAAATGTGATGCAGTTCACATCAAAGTTGAATGTAGGAAAATTAGTATGTATGATACATGAAAGTAGTCAAAATGGGCTAGGGGTTAAAAGAATGTAGTGAAAGAACAGGAACAAGACGTGAATAGTGGAATAAAGAGTTAAAGAATTATAAAAATTAACAGGAAAGAGATGAGGACAAAGCTAATGTAAAGGATGGATATCAGGACATCATGTTTCCAGGTATCTGTAGGCTTTTTGAATCCAGAATCTCATAGAGCCAGGCTGCTTAGTTTTTCTGTGATTAAATTTGTCATCTTTAGTCAATGAGATATTATTTCGGTTCATCCATGGTTTGATTTGATTATGAATCCACTTCTTATATTTTATTTAATGCACAGATAAACTGTACAATGCAATATGTAAAATCAGTTGCTGTATTGTTCTGAAAAGAAGCAAGCAATGAGGCAAAAGTTAAGGTTCTAGGATATTAAAAAATTGGATATACAGAAATAGTGATAGAAGGATCTGAATGGGAAAGTTTCATTGTCCACACACAATTCAGCAAAATAAGGTGTAAAATAATTGAATAAATAATTCCATAATTTACTTTGGATCAGGGATAGATAGACTTTAGGCTTATAGAACCTAATCATTAATAGAGAAAATTCTGAAGTTCTTCCACAAAGGGGCAAAATACTAATGTAGTTATAATGGTTCATCTGAGGAATTAGTTTTAAATATAGGCTTGGGGTTCACACACAACTTTTTAAACACAATTTTCTTGATTTCAGCACCTAGATTCAACAAGAAAAAGACAGTTTTGGTCATTGTTATTAGTTGAAATTAATTTTCAACAAGTCACATGTTGAGATGGGCAGTCCTATAAATTGAAAGAATCACCCAGCTTCTGCTTGTCTTTGGTCTAAAGTTTGCTGTGTTGACTACATTGAGTGTATAAAGTCATATCTGCCCGAAGCATACTTTCTGGTATATGTCCTGTTCCCAAAACTGTCCATATGTGGTCCCCAGACTTTTACAATTTGTAGAACTGTCACAGTGGATGGAACCAAACATTTTGGCTCATATCTTTTTGTATTTTACCAATTTGGGAAAGTTAAGGGGCAAAATTGGTTTTCTAAGCTTTATAGAGACTAAAAGCACTTTTTCCATCCTTTAAATCCTTCTCTGCACTTCTTCCAAGTTGATTGTTATGCATTCCACTGTGGAGAGAATAGTTCTAGTTACGTTGCATCAAGTCTAGGGTAGTCTTCAAAAGTTGCACCCTTGAACCTAAACTAAGAATTAATGTTATTCAGGACTGAAGGAATGGCACTTGTAAGTTGCCCAGAGATATTCAATTGTCTACTGTTTAAAGCTAATAGAAACACAATGTTCTATATTTCTTCTACTTGACCTTGGAAAATTTCAAATTTGATTCTAAACATAAATGTAAACCAACATATCAATGTAAACATGGCATTTTGCAATTGGCTTATAAATAGAACCGTTAAGTTTATATGATGCATATATTAATCAGCTATTAGATAAAAAAAAAGATATTATGGAGGCAGTATTCCTAAAAGCACTAATATCAGAGGTGGTATTCTGTAGGTTCTGACCAGTTCAGGAGAACTGGTAGCGGAAATTTTGAATAGTTCAGAGAACCGGCAAATACCACCTCTGACTGGAGATTTTACAGTATCCTTCCCCTGCCACACCCACCAAGCCACGCCCACAGAACCAGTAGTAAAAAGAATTGAATCCCACCACTGACTAATATGTTTAGTAAAAGACAGGAAATTGTGTTAATGGAAATTTCAAATATTTAAAAACATATCTGGTGTAACAGAACGCAAATGTTTTTGCTTTGTTCAAGTTTAAGAAAGAATACAGTTTTAAATTCTGGGGGTTGTAGGTTCTGTTTGTTTTAGTGCAGTATGAAAGATTTGAATTTTAATGTCCAATGGATGCCTTTGTAATAGAGTCTTGGCCTAATATGTTTTTTCTTGCTTGCTTATCTTACTTTACTTGTAAAAATTAATTGCCCATATATAATAGTTGGAGGATTTGTTATGTCCTTATCAAGTGGAAAAAATGATAATTTGTGCATATTCTACATTTCAAGATAAGGTATTGAAACACGTATCACAGCCAGAATCTGATTGGCTTAAGCAAGGATTTCTGTGATCTATGATATTAGTTGATTCCAAAGAACCAGCAATGTTTCTGGTAGATGGAATTGTGCTGGAAATCAAGCTGAGCAGAATCTGTTTGAGTTAAGTTCATCAGGCAGAAGTAGCCAAGGGACTAACTAGAGATCCACTGATGATGTATGTGATATGCAGTTTACAGTTCTGAGAGATGCAAAATCCTTTAATTCGTTTCCCAAATAATACAGAAGCAAGGAAAACAACATCTACGTAACTCAAATTATTCTTCCTCGCACTCTTGTTGGACGACTAATTTCAATAATGCGAGGAGAAGGATCGTATTTGAGAGCAGCCTTGGAAACTTTGTATGGATCATGCGCTTCAAAAATATAGACCCGAGGTCTGGAGAGTTGTTCTAATTTTTCTTCTGTAGGAACAGGATGGCGTTTTTTATGTGGCTCTGTAAGATCAAACCCAGGAGAAGCAAGTGTTAAAGGCTAAACTGACCATGATCAATGTTTCTAACAAAATACAAAGATAAACTAAAATGATGTAAAGTTCCTCAAATATTAAGATTTCAAATATTCAGTAGTTTAAGAAATTGACTTTATAAGTGCGGCTTTCCTCTTATGAGGTACCTCAGATTCTAGAAAGAATTGGGTCCAAGGGTTTACCTCGTTGTCTAGCAGTTTAGCAAAGAAAGAGCAACTCAGCAGTTTTCTCCCAATTCATTATATAGATTGCAAGTCAAGAAGAGGGTTGTGTTTTTTTTTGGCATGCTTGCTCTTATGTGTGAGTTGGGGCACCAAAAGTAAGTATACCTTAATATTTAAAGTCCTTTTGTTAAACAAGTATTTAATATATAGGATGCTTTTTTTCATTGGATCTCAACATTATGAGATGAATAAATAATATCAAGGTTGCAATCAAAATTTTAGAATTTGCAGTACACTAAGGCGTATACTTAATACCAAGAAAATAGAATGAGACAGCAAATCATTATAATAGTCATATTGAATCTTCAGCAAATTGTCCCAGTACTGGTGTTTTGAAGATGCAGTCAGACATGCATCTTCCAGGATATCTTCATTCTGGTTCCTGCCCCACCCCAACAACTTGCTGCGGCATTGTTCTATGGACCTTTCCACTGCTATGGTAAAGTGTTCATTCATCCTTGGAATCAACAAAAATGTACTAATAGGAAATTTACTGTCCCTATTATGCCTTTCTCACCTCTATTTCAGGTCATTGCATTTACAAATGGGGAAAGCCCCTACATCCACTGAGAGTGGACCCTTTGGGTTTAATCACTGAACCACCTCTGGAAGACAGACCAATATTATATCAGAGCCAAGAATGAGAGAATCCTCGGCTTAAAGTCATATACTGTAAGTCGTGGATACAGTGATCAGAATGGAAGACTTTCAAAACCAAGCTGGAAAGTTATTGTTCTTTAAAAATTTTGCAGTAGGAATGTTAGAAGAATTATTTTTTATGATACTGATATTTGTTTAACCTCATCTTGGCTTTGATTAAACTATTTTATCAAGTATTTATTCAGTTAGCACTTTGCAATCAATTGCTTTCTTAACAGTTGCAATGTATATGATACAAGTGCAATAAAACAATGACAAAGAAAAGATAAGTAGTTATATTAAGTACCATTACAAATTACAGTAAAAAAAACAGCTCATCTGAGTTACCATAAGCATTCTGTGGTTAGATTTCAGAATGTTAACACTAGGGGACAAGTTTGCAAGAAGACTGTTTCACCACATAACCCTTGCAAATCATCCATGTGATCATCCACAACAGTGGGTCACAAGCAGTTTTCCTGACAAGCATGACTCAGATGAGTCCGTTATAACTGAGTAGCCAAGCTATGTGGAGCCAAGCACTTTGAATTGCACCTAGAAGAAAATAGGTTAGTTCAAGGCCTGAAGCATCAGTGTAATACACTTATGGCAATGAACACCCACCCCCCAAATAATCCATTGCCTTTTGAAATGAAATTTCTGGGTAGTATTCAAAGGCAGTGCTGTGTAGAGTGAAGTGTGGTAGTCCATGCACTTAGTGATGAAAAAATGAATTACTGTCACTTATTTTAGGAAGGACTACAGCTAGTGAGCCAAATCTATGGGCAAAAACCCCCTGCACACAGCTTCCATCTGAAGCTATATAACACTAACTGAGACTCAAGTTGCAATCTGCTCTTGGGGATTGTACCATCCAGTCAATAGGCTATTAGAGGACTTTGTTGTACAAATAAGGAACTCTGCTTGCTGACGTTCTACTTCAGTGTATTTCATCCTAACCAGACCTAGGCAGCTTTTTAGAAATGAATCAAGACATTGACAGCATCTCTTGCCCTATTTAGGGTAGTAATGTTCAATCTATATTCTGATGACATCTTACTCTGAGTCACACCCAAGATTGACTTTCCTCAGCAGTTTCATGTAAGGTGCCTTATTTCCATCAAGATCCCAACAAAGACTAATAACAAGAGCAATCAATGCTGTCTGTGTCCCATACACTGGCCTGCATCTTTTGAAAAAGACACAGATCTGATTTCTCTGAAGGTATTTCTAGAAAGCTAAACCACATCCAACAAGGTTGAATGTTTGGTCCCTTACAGGTGTTGGTTTGCTCATAGAATAACGGGGTTGGGAGGGACCTTGGAGGTCATCTAGTCCAATCCCTTGCTTGAGCAGGAGAGTCTATTCCAAATATTAACCTAGGATTGAACTCACAGCCTCCTGATTGTGAGATTACCTGGGCCATCTTCATGGCTACTATGGAATCCATAAATTAATGAGTTCTTCCTCGGAGATTGGAGTCACCCCAAAATAACTACAAAACCAGCTCAGAGACTAAGCTGAGCAACCCAGAAAGGGATCCTGCCAGGGTGGATGGAAGGTGCACCAACAGGATCACCCAGATTGCCCATGTAATATATGGGCATTTATATCTTGTCCTTTGAAGAGCAGAATCCATGCTCAGAGGTGAAGTGTCTTTAAAGACCAACATCATCATTTCTCTCTGGTCTTTAGGTCCTGAAAGACTAAAAATCAAGGAGAACAGATTTCTGGCAAGATATCATCTCTGCTTACAGATCTGGATATCCACTCACTATTAAATCATAGGTGATTGAGATTTTACTAGATATGTACTTGGTGTTCACCATTAGCATCTTAAAGTAACCCAACTGGAAATGGAGATAAACATCAGGTTTTAATCCTTCTGTAATAGTCATACTAACCTGCTATAATCCCCTTGACCCTCACAACCAGGATACACCTGCCACCCCCCTTAATTACATGATACATATTTTCCAACATTCTAAACAACTAATTATCTTGAGCACAGCAATTTGGTGCAGCCAATTCCATTTCCAAATTCTCAGAAGACTCCCAAGTACTCCTCCTAATCTCAACACCTTCAAAGGCTTACTCTTGAGCTGTTTCTCAACCGGCCTGCCTTATAGTAATGGCAACTGCTATGTCCTGCACTCTTCTGTTACTGCAACTCAGCCAGTCAGTGAAGATCTGTTAGGATCCTCTACACATAGATAAGACTAAAGTGTCAAAGAAGAGGGTTTGGTAGCAGTGATCTGTTCTAATGTGCCTACTACTTTCTTCCTCCTAGCTCTTTTGAGTAAAGAGTATGGAGTACTGAGTAACTGGATTCCTTTTTAAGGGTTTTTGGTGGAGAAGATGATGTGACTTTTCTTGAAGATATCTTCTAGCTGTATTGGACAACTTTCCACCTTCTTTTAGGGAAGGTTGTTGAGAAACTAATGGGCCTTCAGTGAGAATTGAAGAAGCTTCTTGGATGAGAAGCAAAACATCTTCAAGCCAAGAAAGTCTGGTTGCCTTTTGAAAAAATACCTTTGGGATAACCATGACCTGGATGACTGAGAATCTCCATAGACTTGAATTGGTGGCATTCTATATGCTCAACAATAGTGTCCATTTAAACTGCTTCAAAATGAAGATAGAAAGTGCTGTTCTGCAGTATTCTACTTCTCTCCAAGTGGATGATGCCAATCAGTTTTGGGGAGGAAGAAGGATTGGCCTGATTAATATTCCCAGTGGTGGGCCACAGGGCTTGTTTCTACAGAGGAATTATTGAGTCTATCATCTGCACCTCTATAACTGTCTGGTTTGGTTCTGCAACCCAACAGGACAGACACAGACTTCAGAGGATAATTAGGACCGCAGAAAAAACAATTACTACCCACCTGCCTTCAATCGAGGATCTGTATGCTGCAATGAGTCAAAACGAGGGCTGTGAAAATATTTACAGACCCCTCACATCCCGGACATAAAAACTGTTTCAACTCCTTCCCTCAAAACGACGCTATAGAGCACTGCACACCAGAACAACTAGACACAAGAACAGTTTTTTCCCAAATGCCATCACTCTGCTAAACAATTCCCTCAACCCTGTTCAACTATTACAAAGTCTGCACTAGTATTACTGTTAATCTTCTCATCACCCCTTATCACCCATCCCCTCCAACTTATGACTGTGTGACTAACTTTGTGGATTGTATCCTTACGATTTACTTGACTGTTATATTGACTGTTTCCTAGTATGATTTGATTGCTGATTGTACCCTATGACTATCATTAAGTGTTGTACATTATGATTCTTGATTCTTAACGAATGTACCTTTTCTTTATGTATACTGAGAATATTTACACCAAGACAAATTCCTTGTGTGTCCAATCACACTTGGCCAATAAAGTATTCTATTTACTTCTCTGTTTTATAACACCTGCATGAGATTGCAGGGATATATTACCTGTCAATTTAGGATATAATATCATTAGTATGCTGATGATGTCCAGATGAATATCTATAGCCTGGGTTAGGCTAAAGATTCTGTAGAATTCTTGACTCAGTGCCCAGAGGCTACGAGAGTCTGAATAGGATAACACAGGAACAGTCTTACCAAGACATTGTTTCTGTTTGTGCAGCAATAATTTCTTTTTATGTTCTAGTCAGCTCTAGAGAGGGTTTTGCTCTCTTTGATAGAGCTAGTTCTGGAGTCAGTTCCTGCTGGCTGCACAGGTGGAAACGGCATGACCAGATGAATTTTAACTCAAATTCAGCCAGTGTAGCAGTTCCTAGTTGAAGCTAAAGGTCTTGATGACATGTTTCAAAATCTTCTCATTAGTGCATTAAACAGATGCAATAGGTTTGACATCAAACTGCCTTTGAATTCTATTCTAAAATGTTACTGGTGTAAAATATAGCAAACCAGGCTCTAGTTGGCAAGAACAAACAAAGCCATTCTTTTCAAAGTTTGTTTACATAAATCAACAATCAACCTAATTTATATAATTTGTAATTTGCATCAGTTTACATCTTTTGTGTAATGTAATGCTCTATTGTTATTTGGAGCAATTTAATTTGGATTTAATAGACATTCAGATTTAATGGACACCTTTCTCCCAAAATGGTCTACTAAATCAAGATTTTACAGGTAGTCCTTGACTTTACAATTGTTAACAGTTAACAATGGTATAATGGCTTCAAAAATAGTGACTTGCAACCTGTCTTCAGAGTATTGACTGTCCCATCATCCCCATGGTCACAATTGGGGCAGTTGCCAACTGACTCCCATTTATGACTTGTAGACTATCTCGTAGTCATGTGATTGTGATTTGTGATTTTCCCATCCAACATTTGAGAGGCAAAATCAATTGAGGAAGCCAGAATCATTTAATGACTGCATGATTCACTTAACAACCATGCAATTTGCTTAATGACCACAGTAAAAATAATTGTTAAATTGGATCCACTCATATGATGACTCGCTTAATAACTAAATCACTTGGCATCTTAAAATGGAATCCCAATCGTGATCATAAGTCGAGGACAACCTATACACTATCCTTCTGAGATTTCAACCATTTTTAATAATGATAAAAATCATTAATATAATTTTGAGGTTCCATAAAATGTTATAAACACCCTAGTACTCCTAGGTTCCGCATAGCCTATCCTGCCGTAGAGTATCAAAACTTAAATGAATATCATTAAAATTGAGTTATAAAGTAGTTCTCCCCATTTTTATTGCATCATAATACACTATTCAAAAAAGTCAGTGGCATCTAAATCAGTTTTTCAATATTCAAATTTCGACTAACTATTGGGAAATATGGATTTAATATTCCATGCTTTCATTGGATTGTATTTGGCTTGTTAATTGGCTGGAATAAAAAGTTTTAAAGTTCAGTTCCTTTTTGGAGCTAAATCTGTAGATAATTATTTGCTGCCACTAAAAGCTAAGCAGTGAGGATTTTTATTTGTTTGGAGATCTATTTCATTATAGTTTTATATTAATTTATTGAATTATAGTTAATCCTTCTATAGTTCAATAGTGACTCATAGTCATAGTTTTAATTCTTTTACTCTCAAGAAGCTTAGTTTAAAAATAATTTAGAAAACTTTGGGGTAGCCTTTAGACTTCACATAATATTGTCACCATGACTCAATGTATCTTAACTTTTTAATACTTAATAGCTGACTTTAATTAACTTCAAAGTATTTAATGAGAATATATTTATTTCAACAACAATTATCTAAACTTTTGGTCTTGATGCCAAAAGTGGTTTTACTAGTTACATGACGGTATTTTGAAAGATTTATTGAAAACACTGAAAGATCTTTTGTTTGATCTTAAAATGAAATCAGTATTAACAAAAAAATTGTTTAGCATCTACAAGTAATCCTTGACTTACAACTGTAATTGAGCCCAGAATTATGTTTGTAAGTCAAGGCACCCATGTGACTAGAAGTAATTTTCTGTTCTTTTTCACAGCAATCCTTAAGTGAACAATTGATCATTAAACAAACCCATTTGTTTGAATGTGCTTTTTTGCCGGAAACTGGAAAAAATTGCCAGAAATTGGTAAAAAAATTATCTCAAATTACAGTCACATGACTGCGGAACATCACGACTGTTCATAAAGGTGACCCACCTGACATGTAGTCACATGACTGTGGGGGAGGCTATGCATTCATTTAGGATGGTTTGGAAAGGCTTTATGGGTTGTAAAGCACCCATTCCAGTGGTGGGATTCATTTTTTTTTACTACCGGTTCTGTGGGTGTGGCTTGGTGGGCTTGGCAGAGAAAGGAGACTGTAAAATCTCCAGTCAGAGGTGGTATTTGTCGGTTCCCTGAACTACTCAAAATTTCCACTACCGGTTCTCCAGAACTGGTCAGAACCTGCTGAATACCACCACTGACCCATTCCATTGCTGTTGTAATTTAGCATAGTCATAAGACTGGTCATTCAGCAAGGATTGGATATTTCAGAGTATGTTTCATAATTCCATTGCTAAATTTGCATCTGAAATGCAAAAGACTGTCAATATGACTTCATAACAATTACTGTCTGTTTCCCTAGACTCATGTCGTCATGGCATCATCGTGTGATATATCGGGACTTTTTTCCCCTTCGTGAAACCAGGTGGGGGGCGGGGCCAGCACGTGATGCATCCTGTCCATAGACCGCGAGTTTGACACTCCCACCCTAGACACTCCTATCCCTAGCTAAATGGATTTTATTAACAAGCAAGGAAAATCTGTATGAGAGGTCCTGTTTCATTACCTAAACTAGGTAACACCACCAGTGCATCAGGCTAATGAAATGTCTGCAAGAGAACCACCAAACTCAGAGAGCCCCAAGAACCCTTCATTTCAACCCTGAGCTACAAATATTTTTTTCTCTGTTGGAAAATCTGTATATCGGGCATAACTAAGAGACATACAGGAATCACTGACCTACCTAGAGCAATGGATTATTTTTCTGATTCTTTCTGAAAGATTTTCCAGCTCTTTTGTCATATTTATTTAAGTTGCTTAATGTGTGTGTGTGTGTGTGTGTGTTGAAATATGGATCAGAATAGTGATTTCTTTATATTTTTCTCCTTTTCTTTTCCTTAATCAAGAAAAATGTTTGTAGAGGAGAGGGAATTGATGTCTGTGATTTGATCATCTTCATCCAGCTTTTTCCATGGGGAAATGGGAAACCATTCCTGCACTGTATAGCTGTGGGAAGAGAATCTCAGGAGCTATAGCGAGTCATTCAGCCAATGCACAGAGGCACCTCTGTTTGTACAGCTCTTTTCTCCTGTTACTAATCTTCTAAAAATTGGAAGGAGATTTATTATTTAGCAAGCAGCATGACACAACTCCCCCTCCCCTGTAACTAAGAGCCCCCCGAGGATCTGCAACTAAACTGGTACAAAGAGAAAGTTTATCTTGTCAATAATAGGAAGAGCAGATTACTTAAGACCGCACCTGGAATCCTGCATCCAGTTTTGATCACCACATTACAAAAAAGATGTTGAAACTCTGGAAAAAGTGCAAAGAAGAGCAACTAAGATGATTAAAGACCTGGAGACTAAAACAGGAAGAACGGTTGCAGAAATTGGGTGTGTCTAGAGAAAAGAAAGACTAGGGGTGACACGATAACTGTATTCCAATATTTGAGGGACTGCCACAAAGAAGAGAAGCGGTCAATTTATTTTCCAAAGCAGGCAAGATAAGAAACAGTGGATGGGAATTAACCAAGGAGAGAAGCAACCTGGAATTAAGAAGAAACTTGCTAACAGTGAGGACAATTAATTGGTGGAACAACTTGCCTTCAGAAGTTGTGGGTGCTTCATCACTGGAGGTTTTTAAGAAGAGACTGGACGGCCACCTGTCTGAAATGGGATAGAGTCTCCTGCTTGAGCAGGGGGCAGGACTAGAAGACCCCCAAGGTCCCTTCCAGCTCTAGTCTGATTACTTACTCTCTGAAGTTGTGGGGCTGCACTTTGGTTTGGCTAGAGCAATTATCCGTGGTGTGGGAACTGCAGTTAAGGCTCCTTTTCTCACCTAAAGAGAAGAAACAAAGCTGTTCTTTTCCATTAATGAACTTAAATGTCCCCTATCACCAAATCCAAACTGGGAACAAGTACAAATTAGCATGAAGATGATGCTTGCCAATCAAATTTCACCACAGCTTCATCATCACTCTTCTGGATCAGATTAAAAACCTATGAACTACCATTACACCACAGGCTTAACCATCAAAGATCTATGAACTGTGTTCCTACCACATGATTAACCTGCCCCCCCCACCATGAAAAAAAAATTGATTCACATAACAAGGGATACAAGACAAGCATTGTAGATTTACACATTTTTCAAGACAAGGTTGTTCCCACAAATTTGAGCAGTCACAACTGACCTAATTCCAGCCTGCTGCCTCTGTTCTTGGAGACAACCTGTCATTATTAGAAAATGCTGATGTTCCCACTCACCATGAGCTCGTCCCATGCCACATTTCAAGTCATGTCACTCTATGTCTATAATTATAACTTGTGGCAGCCACTGTGTAGGTTTAGTTTGCGAAAACATCTTCCTTTTTGGTGGCCTAAATCTTCTATTGTTCAACATTGTTGGATGACCCGTGATGTTATACAGGTAGTCCTTGACTTACAACAATTCATTTAGTGACCAGTTACAGTCACAACGGCACTGAAAAAAGTGACTTATGACCATTTTTCACACAACCTTTGTAGCATCCCCATGGTCATGTGATCAAAATTCAGATGCTGGGCAATTGTTCATACTTGTGACAGTTGCTGTGTCCCGAGGTCATGTGATCCCCTTTTGCGACCTTTTGACAAGTAAAGTCAGTGGGGAAGCCATAGTCACTTAATAACCTGTTACTAACTTAACAACTGTGGCAAGAAAGGTCATAAAACGGGGCAAAGCTCACTTAACAAATGTCTCACTTAACAACAGAAATGTTGGGCTCAATTGTGATCTTAAGTCGAGCAGTACCTGTACTATTTTAAGGCAGAAAAGCTTTGCCTATTTCCATGTTTTTAAGTCATTGTTGTGACTCTTTCCCCCTTTGCATTTTTCTGCACCCTTCCCTTTACCTTTTTGGCACTTCTGAGTCCTTTCATTTAGCCATTTTCAAAGTTGGTTTCCTGTTTCTGAAGCACGTAAAGACACTGTATGGCCGTATGTTGGCTTTGATAGTTTTCAGGGTGTGTTCAAGATTTTTATTTTTTGTATGCTGGGTGAATCTTATGTATATTTGTTTATTACATTTTTATGCCGCCCATCATACTGTCAAATGACTGGATGGCTTGCAAGGGTGTTCCTTTATGTTCTCATTTGGACACCTTCTCTTGCAGTGCCTTAGCAAAATGGATTTTGCTCTTCCTTAGGGACTGGCTATTCTGTTTAAGAATGTACAAGGAATTATTGCGAAACTAGTGGAAAAATAACTACAATTCAGCTTCTGTCTTGAAAGTAACTACAATTTAAGATCTGTCTAACTTATTTTCAGGTTTGCAAATGCTGCATGGCAGCTTAGTTCTATGGGGAATATATTCTCTTGGGGTATAAGTGAACAAGAAAGAAAGGATGGAGAGAACAGAACAAAGGAGACTAACATGCTACAAAAAAACATGGAAGCAGGTATGGGGGGGGGAGAGAGGGCCCCACACATAGAACACACTTGACTGAGGGTACTAAATTATGGGGTTTACACAATGAAATAAATTGTATTAGCAAAGGATTGACTTCACACAAATTGGTAAGCTGCTAGAAAACCCTGACCTGAGTTAAAACTCAGCTACAGCAGCATAAAGAAGCCAACAAAGGATGGCGTGGCTGCACGAGATATTTATCAGGGGCGTATCAAGGACCAAAAGGATAAGATCACAATGAAAAAAATGCATTAGATTCTGTTCGAATATAGCTAGGAGATTGCAGAACTGTTCAAAATCAAAGCACTCACTTTGAAATTCAAAATGTATTGTTCCAGCCTATCCAACCAGTATAGAAAGGTGTTAAGTTTGAAATTGGTGTTTTGTACTTGACCCAACCATTTTGCACTCAGAACATTTCCACAGTGGTCCAAATGATGTCAAAACACTTCTGGTAAAGGGCTCTAAAGCCCAGTGGTTTTGAACCTAGAATATTGAACAGGATATTATAATCTTGAAAGGAATATTTGAGTTTGAAACATTTTAAATTCAAAATGTTGTGCACCATTAATTAATATACCACCCTTTGAGAGAGAGAGAGAGAGCTACATAAATGTGAGTAATAAATAAGGAAGAAATAAATGTAATTTGTCATATTAAAAATAGTTTTGTGGCATTGCTAAGCAAAGCTGCCACGGTGACTGCATTCGTACAATTAGATGAGTCTAATATGGAATTGGATCATCTGTGGTTCATTGTACTCAACTACACATAGTCCTCGAATTATTTTCAGGTTTAACATTTTTTTTAGTTATAAAGTATTATAAAATACAAAATACAAAGTAAATAGAAAAGCAGTTGGGGAGAGGAGAAGGGGAAAGAGAAGTGAGGAAAGATAAGAAAGAAAAAGAAGCATTGACTTCCATGGCATGAGCAGTTTTGAACATGTCCCAATGCTGCATAACTTGTACTGGTTTCCAGTGGGTTTCTGAGTGCAATTCAAGGTACTGGTTGTGACCTATAAGGCTGTACATGGCACAAGGCCAGGTTATTTATAGGTTTCCTTGTCTTGAAAAGGAGATTCTTTAATCATTTCTCAAGGGCAGGAGTCCCCTTAGAGTGACAACTGTAGCATCATTGTTTAAAAAAAAATTGCATGGGAAGAGTTCCCTTTTGAGGGATTGAAAGGAAGCTTGTAGAGCTAAGAAAGCTGTAGAATATTGGCAAGATTACAGAACAATGAAAGATAGGGTATTTACACAAGGTCCTTGGCCACCTCATTGCTAATTAAATGCAATCCCAACCCCTGAGAACATTCTCTTCTCCTTGGAGGGAAAAAGCAAATCCTCTTTCTTGCTACGGATAGATAGAAAAAATACAGTAGAACCTGAGTGGCAAATATACATACATACATACATACATACATACATACATACATACATACATAAATACATACACACATACATACAAATGAACAGGACTGGAAGCAGTTTAGCAAAAGTTGTCCATACCATAAACCAGTTAAGATTATTTAACTCCGAGATATCTGTGACAGGCCGGGGTCGTGACAGGTTATTTAATCTGGGTGATGCCACCACATTCAGAGCTGTGGGTGTTACTGATGTCTCAGGAAAAAATCTAGTTTGGCATAAAAAAGGAAGAACAGAAGAAGAAAAAACAATTAAGAAGATCAAAAAGAAAAACATGTGAAATTCATTGTGCTAATCCTATTCTAATCATAGCATAATTTATTCAACTTATTGTTACTTGTTAATAGTATAACTTATTTGACTTAGTGTTACTTTACTAGTTTGACTTGTGTTACAAATCCAACCATTGTCAATTGAGACCTATGCTAATGCTTTGCTATGCTGTGCTATTCTTATTCTTATCCCATCCTATCCCATCCCATTTATTATTATATCTTAGCTTAGTCACTTTGGTATAGTGGTGATAGAAATCACTACTGAGTTCTAATCCTGACAGCTCAATGACTGAGCCAGTCCTTCTCTCGCAGTCCTAGGAAGAAGGCAGTGACCAACCAAATCCAAAAATGCTGCCAAAAACACCACATCAATTTGTCCTGGCAATCCACCAGGAGTAAAGAATGATCCGAAAGTGTGCACGCTCACACATACACACATTCAAGCAATATAGATGCCTGCTCATCTCACAGCAGCTGGGTGGTGTATAAAGTTAAAATCAGAGATAAACCATCCAAATAATAAATATCCTAGGTCACAACCAGCAAATTCCAATTTACACTAAAAACAACATGAGCTGACCAGGTTCATTTAATCTCCTAACCCGAATGTCTGGGGAAGAGCAAGGTCATTCATGCCTTATGAAAACAAGCAGGGCTTTATGTTGTTAAAGCAGCCAATTGTTATTTAATAAGAAGTCACGATGAAATCAACCATGGTTTAGGAAGGGCAGAGTTTCAGTCCCGTCACCCCAGTTTTCAGCCTCCGGGGAATATGGTGATGTCAACTATGTTCCTATGCCTGATTTTTTAAAACCTGCTTTTATTTTTATTTTAATTAAACATTATAATTTGGAAAGACTTTGAAATAAAATAAGAAGGTTATGTAAACCATGTGGCCAAGTCTGAATATCCCACTGGGAATAAGATGGACAATTATAGGTAGGCCTCATGGGAATTTTTTTAGTAACCTGTAAATTATCCAGCTGATCTGCAGATCATACAGGAAGGATATGAATACCAGAACTGGGCTGCAAATCTCTACGCAGCTGCTAGATGACAGGGTTGATGTTTGTATATCTCTCTGCCATCAACTCATCATCTATAGTTTTACAGATTGGTTATATTTTGTTTTATGCATTTATTTATTTTTTATCCCACCTTTATTGTTTTTACAAATAAGTCAAGGCAGCAAATACACACAATACTCCCTTCTCCTATTTTCTTCACAACAACTCTGTGAGGTGGGATGGGCTGAGAGGTGAGGAACTGGCCCAAAGTCACTCAGTTTACTTTCGTGCCTAAAGTGGGACTAGAACTTACCATCTCCTGGTGATTGGCCCAAAGTCATTGAGTCCGCACTCATTCCTAAGGGAGGACTAGAAATCAAAGCCTCCTGAATTGTAGTCCAGCATTTGTATCTCTGCACCAAACTGGCTCTATGAATCCAGTCAACTCCATTTTGTTCAGGGAGATCTGGTTAACTAAACCATGACCATTAAAAGTGTTGGAATAAAATTGAACAGCTTCTTTTTCCCAAACTGCACATGACCAAATTAATTTTCTCTTTTTCCACCAAGTCAATGCTTGGCAGAGCCTTCAGATTAGCTCACTTTCCCCCCCACCTGTTATATTTGTAGCTTGGATGGACCATCTTGAATTCAGACAACTCTTCCTGCCTGGAAGTCATAACTGCAAAAGAGAGTCAGGAGGGGAAGTGAGAAACAGTGCAGGTTAGACTAGCATTCCCAGAATGTGATGCCCTTCATTTATATTCACTGGAGTCATTCCTACTAAAACATATTTGTGATTTCAATTCATTTTAAAAAAAAATTCTGAATGTTTCAATGTATTTCTTTCTAGTACTTCTGACATTTTTTTCATGACCATCACTTATGATATAATGATCCTTCTTTGTTGTGGCAATTTCATTGTTTATTATTACAATATATGATTTATCATTTTGGCAGCTGGTGAAGTTATATATCATATCAATTTAGCTTGAAGTAAATTTAATTGGCTTTTTCTGTAACTCTTTTCATTAATCCACTGTGATTATCTCTTTGAAATTTTCCTTCCCTTTGATTGCATTTTTTTTATTTGCTCTGTCTTTATATTTCAGTAAAGATTTTATAGATACAGCCTAATAAATGAACTCAGTTTTGTATGTATCTAGATTCACCTTTGGCAAGAGTAATGTTGAGGTATTCCCCGTTAGGAGAATGAGTGTACTCAGGGAAACATAGTGAGAGTGATGTTGAATAACACACGACCAGCATACAGACACACTGAATAGTAAAATGTAGGTTTTACTTCCAGTAAACAGGTAAACAAAGTCCAACAAACAGTCCAAATCATACACGGTTAAAGCGGTTAGTATCAGTCCAGGGGTAATCCAAAAATGAAGTCAAGTATCATAAACAGAGTTCAGTAAACTGAGTTTGCTAACAGTTGCAAAAACTCACAGCAATCCAAGTAGAATGACGATCAGGCAATACGGTAATATTGCAAAACAGGAAATGCAAGGAGAAAGAAACCAGGTTTCTGGCTCCATCTTATGGCTGTTGAAGGAACCTTAGCCAATCACACTAACAGCATTCTCTTAAAGATACAGTATTAAATGACTATCCTGGTTTATATATTTCCAACCCAACTGTTAGATGACTATCATTCCTAACATTCTCCCCTTTGGGTAGGACAATATATAAAACCTTCCAGTTAAGTCCATATTCATCATAGCAAGCCTTATGTTTAACAGTGCCTTGGGCTTTCGTAAAATGATCTGCAATGTTATTCTCTACATGCAGTACTCCAGTGTAATCACTTTGAACACATTGTCTCACATTTAGATATCTTAGATCAGTGTGTTTTGATCTTGTCTTTACAGTGAGATTGGAAGCCATCTGAATTGCTGATTGATTTTCTTCATACACAACAATAGGTTCCTTTACATTAATTCCCATATCAATCAATAGTTGTTTATAACATACTAAATCCATACATAATAGAGACAAACATGAGAATTCAGCCTCCATTATTGATAAACTTAGATGTTTTTGTCGAATAGACCGCCATCCAATCAACACCTTTCCTAATAACACTACAGTACCTGACGTTGATTTACATGTAGGTAAGTCTGTAGCGAAACTTGCATCGGCATATGCAGTTAAACTTAGTTCATCCTTAGGCTCCAAATATAATGCATAATGCATTGTTTGTTTAAGATACCTCAACACACGCTTAGCAGCTTGCCAGTGCCTTTCAGTAGGCTCAGCATTAAACCTGGCTAATTGGTTAACACAATATGCTATATCTGGCCTTGACCAATTCCTAAGATAAGATAAGCTACCAATTAAAGATTGATAAATATCTTTATCAAAAACAGGACTCTGTACATCACTGTGGCTAAACTCATGGCTCATTGGTGTTTTAGCCGGTTTACAAAGTTCCATTTTAAAATTATTTAGTAATTGGTTAATTTTATCTGCCTGTGAGATTTTATATCCTCCCCTAGTTTTATCTTTTAAACCAAGATACTGTTTAATCTCTCCTAAATGTTTTAAATTTCTTTTCTAACAGTGAAATAATCTCAGTAGCTTCTTGCTCAGTCTTTGTGATTAATGCTATGTCATCAGTGAACAATAGCAACAATAAAACTACACCATCACTTTCTTTTTTGAACAAACATGGATCAGCCATGCCAGCTACAAAACCTATCTTTGTTAATTCCTTCACTATGCATTGGTTCCATTCATAGCCTGATTGCTTCAAGCCATAAAGACTCCTTTTTAATCTCCAGCAATCAGTTTTATTATCCATTTTTATACCCAAAGGCTTCTTTAAATATATAGTATGTTGTAATGGTGCAGGAAGATATGCCAGCTCCACATCTAAATGGTTTATTTTGTATTTATTTTTAGCTGCCCACACTAATGCTGCTCGTAATGTGGTAGCCTTCAGATTAGGTGCAAACAACTCATCATAGTCGTTGGCTGACTGATCGAACCCTTGTGCTACTAATCTGGCTTTATGGATAACAGTCCCATCTACACCTGTCTTAATTTTATAAATCCACTTACTCCCTATGGCATGCTTACCTGGTGGTGACCTGGCATTTTCATATACCTCCAAACTTTGTAAAGATTTCAGTTCCTTACCCATTGCTTCCTGCCAAGCAGCCTGATCCTTAGCAGGATACAGTTTTAGTTCATTATAATTATTAGGAACTGTATTTACTTGGCATACAAAACTAGCCTGATATCTATCTCGTGGTTGTGTTACATGGGTTGAACGTCTAGGCAACTCAGGGCTTACTGGTGGACTCTCCTGTTCCACCTGCTCCTGTTCTTCTATCTCCTCCTGTGCCTGTTCTTCCTCTTTAATGGTTATTGATGGTTTAACTATCTCATCATTAGGGACTACTTGGGTGTCAATAATAACATCATTGTTGGATTCCTGTTCTAGTTTATGCCACCCAACATGCTCAAGAAATTTAGCACTAGCGCTACAGTAAATATTAGCTGTGCCTCGATCCCAAAATCTAAACGACCGATGGTTGGCCTCGTAACCTACGAAAAATAATTTCCTAGCTCTATGTTGCCCTTTCAGTCTTACTTGTGAGGGAATATTGCACCCATGCTGGAGCTCCAAATGTGTGTAGATAACTTACATTTGGTTTTCTGCCATGCCAACAAGTGAATGGCAATTCACAGTTGTTGTGTTCACCACATTGTTTAAAACATGGTTGCTACACATTATGGCCTCACCCCACAGTGTTTCAGGCAAATCTGAATCAGATAACATAGTGCGAGCCATGGCTTGTAACGTTTGCTCTCTTTGTTCTATAAATGAGTTATGTTGTGGTCTGTAAGGTGCAGAACGTTTATGCTCGATACCAGCCAATTTTAACATAGTTTGGAATCTATTGTTAATAAACTCAGTCCCGTTATCTGTAACTAAACCTTATGATTCATTTTTCTCTCTGCAAACCTTAGCCAATTAAAGAAATGTTGGAATATTTCTGTTTTGTTTTTCATTAAATAACAGAAACCGTACCGTGAGTAATGATCCATTATACTCAAAACATAGCAGGCACCTCCCAAACTGGGTTTCTTAGGACCAATTATGTCAGCAAACACAACCTCTAAAGGTTCTTTGGTCTTAAACTCATGCAGTCTGTTTGCTGGAGTAACCTTGCTTTTCTCCTGGTTACAGGCATTAAGTACTTCATATAAATTTAATACACAAATAAGTATATAAATAATTTTACCATCTTTTTCAAGGTCCCTCCTTTTTTATGATCACTTTTTATATGTTATCATTCTTCATCTTTCTAAGTATTTGCTGATACATTAACTATGATAGATTCCTTCTTTCATGGGTTCTTGTTGTGTTGTTTATCTGTTTCTTAAATCCAAAAGTGTCATGTTGGCATATCTCATTAAATCTTTCTTACTTAGAGAAGTAAGAAAGTAGATATATTTAGAATAACAAGCTTTTGGCAGCCATGCTGGCTGGGGAATTCTGGGAGTTGAAGTCCACACAATTTAGAGTTGCTAACGCTGAGAAACATTGTCCTAGTGAAACCTAATGCTTAGTAGGTGTGGTGGACTTGAGTTCCTGTAATTATGGGAAATTATATCTACGTTGGGTTGAGGAAAAGGAGCAATATTATTGTGGCCTCTTAAAAATAAATGAGATTGCTGGATAAATGGCCAATGATATATCACGATGCCATGAAGTCACTAAAAAGAGCCAGGGCAAAACTTTCAGTACTCATTGTGTCCTTCATAAAGGATTGAAAATGTTGGCCCACCGGTATTTTAAGAGCTGTCAGAAGGATGCATTGGATCATGTGCAGATCACAATCCAGGCACCTTTGCTCAGGAACATAAATTCTGACTAACTTGCCTGGAATTGTGTATCTCGGCTGCTCTTTGGGTATTTTATCTACCCAGTATACAGAAGGTCTGCAGGGAGAAAAAAAGAGAAACCAAATTAATCTAAATTAATCCTCAGAATTTCTGTCTTCTTCTGACTCCTAATATATTGGCAGTCCCAAGGATTATTTGTCTCTTTTGTCCTCATCAGAGGATATTACAAGAAAAGCCCTGAAAATACTAAATACTAAAAGGAGATATATTTATCTGTTGCCTTGAGAAGGCCTGAGCTGCAACCGTGACTCAATATGTAGCTTGCTAAATTTCATAGTAGTATAAAGCAACCCCTTTATAGATGAGGCGTCCATGGTGTTCTCTGAGCTTGGTTGTTTTCTTGCAGACATTTCGTTACCCAAATTAGGTAACATTCATTGGTGCACTGATGATGTTACCTAGTTTGGGTAAGGAAACTGCAAGAAAACAACCAAGCTCAGAGAACACCAAGGATCCCTCATTTCAACCCCGAGCTACAAACATTCTCCTTTATTGGTACTTTTATAGATGCATGGTTGATTCAGACAGATTTCATCCTGGTCAATTTTCAAAATTAAGAAAAATCCCAATCCTTAATGCTGCCAGCTGGTACCAGCAAATTTCATAACTATAGCAAAAAGGAGACTTATTTACAGGAAGTGCTTTATGAGGAAAGGCAATTAAACCTGAATGATCTGCTTTCCCCTTGTGGTCAGGAGATACCATTGCATTTGGATCTCCAACGCCTCAGTTTTGCTCAGATCGAGATACAGATACAGATTAACAGAGTGGAAGGGCCTTGTAGGTCATCTAATCCAACCCCCTGCCCAGGCAGGAGACCTTACAACATTTCTGACAGATGGCAGTCTGATCTTTTCTTGAAAGCCTCCAATGATGAAGCTGCTACAACTTCCGAAGATAAGCTGTTCCATTGGTTGATTGCTCTCACTGTCAGAAAATTCTCCTTATTTCCAGGTTGAATCTCTCCTTGTCCAGTTTCCATCAATTATTCCTTGCCTGGCCTTCAGGTACTTTGGAAAATAGCTTAACTCCCTCCTTTCTGTGGCAGCTCCTCAAATATTAGAACACTGCTATAGAAATAGCAATAGGAATAGCACTTAGACTTTTATACCGCTTCACAGTGCTTTACAGCCGTCTCTAAGCGGTTTACAGAGTCAGCATATTGCCCCCAACAATCTGGGTCCTCATTTTACCCACCTTAGAAGGATGGAAGGCTGAGTCAACCTTGTTATCATGTCTCCCCTAGTCCTTCTTTTCATCATACCAGACATACATACCCAGTTCCTGCAACCGTTCTTCATATGTTTTAGCCTCCAGTCCCCTAATCATCTTGGTTGCTCTTCTCTAGAAAGTCTCAACATCTTTTTTTATAGTGTGGTGACCAAAACTGGTTGCAGTATTCTAGGTGTGGTCTTACTAAGGCTTTATAGAGTAGTATTAGTACCTCATTTGATCTTGATTGAATCCCCCTGTTAATGCAATTTAGGATTACATTGGCTTTTTGGTTGCCATTGCACACTGTTGGCTCATATTTAATCAGTTGTCCATTAAGACTCCACTCACATTGACTGCTATTAATTCTGGTTTCTCCCAATCTATATGCTGCATCTCTCTCTCTCTCTCTCTCTCTCTCTCACACACACACACACACACACACACACATCTATAAGCCAGCTATTCATAGGAAGGCTGAGAAAAATGCACCCAGTGGGTGAATTCAGTGGACTAGAACAGGTTGCTTCACCCCTTTCCATACTCAAGGCAGAGGAACAGAGATATTTATACTGCCTCTGGATTGCACCTGTACATATGCTTTAAATCCAATGAGTTTTGAGAAAATAGGAATTCTGACCTGGAGAGTAGAACTTGGTGGTTGACTTTTGGTCGGGCAAGGATGCTGAGCCGATCCTGCTTGAGCCCCCATTCTGAAGGCATCAGTTACCAGAGCAGCAAGCCCTGCAGGCTTATGGAGGAGAGGAAAACTGGAGCGATGCTTCCAAGCAAACAAATGATGTTGAAAACTCACTAACATCTGGTGAACAGGTCATAGATGACTCAGATGTTCTGGCAACAGGAAAAATATGGGGGTTAGGTGTAGACACTTGGAATGATGACTAAAATGAACTGTTGTAAGCTGACAGGTAGTCCTTGACTTACAACTATTCATTTAGTGACCAAAGTTACAATGGCACTGAAAAAAGTGACAACCAGTCCTTGCGTTTCCAATCATTGCAGCATCCCCACGGTCATGTGATCAAAATTTGGGCACATGGCAACCAGCATTTAACAATGGATGCACTTAACAACTGTGTGATTCTGCAGTTATTTGCTTAACAAGCGTGGTAAAAATGGTTGTTTAAAAAAAACCTTACAACTGCCTTGATTAGCAACAGACAATCCAATTCCAGTTATGATTATAAGTTGAGGACTGATTGATTCTACCCAGATCCATCTCTTTCTGGGATATTGTATTCAGTTCCCAAAAAAGTCCAAATTTCTGCTTAATTTGTTTCCTGTCTTTCATTGCCCAATTTAGTTTCCACTAAATCCACCTGTTTTTGTCCTTCAGAAGGGACTTTCATTCTTAAAGCCCAACGAGTCAGTTAATTAGTTCTGTCTACTTTATAAAATTTATAACTCACAGTTTCTTCAGAAAGAAATCAAGGCAGCCTGAATTCCTTTCCTTTCCTTTTACCACCCTAATAAACTTGTGAGGTAGGCTAGGTTGAGGGACAAGAACCAGGCCAAAGCTGAGCTTCAGTGATTGATGGGGACTTCCTAATCTATCCCCTTCTGTACTCAGTCATGCTATATTTTATTCTACTTGTATGGCCTATGTCCAGAAGTGGAAATAATCAAAAAAGAAATTATTTGGTAGTGGCACTCCCACATCTATTTCCAAAATTGGACTCTGCCTTACTGTATAAAATACGCCAAGGAGGCTGCCTGGTGATTTTTTTTAAAAAAATGCATTACAGGTAGCCCTCAACTTACAACATAATCAAGCTCTTAATTTCTCTTGCTAAGTGGGACAGTTGTTAAGTGAGTTTTGCCCCATTTAATGACTTTTCTTGAGACAGTTGTTCAGTGAATCATTGCAGTTGTTAAGTTAGTAATGCAGGCAGGTAGGATTAGCCAGTCCCATCTTTTTAAGGTGGTGTGAAGGTGGCTGCTTCATCACTGGAGGTTCTTAAGAAAAGGCTCCAAGTCTAGGACTTGCAGAGTAAAAGATGCTTAAAAATAATAACAACAACAATAACAACAACAATAATAATTTATCAATTTTATATACTGCCCAAGTTCCATGTTGGTTTAGGACCCTGGGACTTGCAGAAAATCTTCATGGGTGGGGTGGGGATTGTTCAGCCTCTTTCATGGCAACTATCAAACTTAGCAAAGAATATTGAAGGTGGGAATCAACCAATAGATAAGTTGCCAAAATTTGCTGAACTACAAAAGACCTGGCCGCAATTTAATCTAGACCTGTTAGTTTTGTGGATACAACTTCTGTGGGTGTGATTTGCTTCTGTTAAGTGAAAGTTCTGTTAAGTGAAAGTTCTGTTAAGTGTTCTGTTAAGTGAAAGTTTCCCCATTGACTTTGCTTGTCAGAAGTTTGCAAAAGGGGATTACGTGACCCCGGGACACTGCAACCGTCATAAATAGGAACCGGTTGTCAAACAACTGAATGTAAATCACGTAACCATGGGGTTGCTGCAATGGTCATAAGTGCGAAAAATGGTCATAAATCACTTTTTTTCAGTCGTGTTGTAACTTTGAATGGTCACTAAACAAAACTGTATCAGTCGAGGATTACCTGCATAGTACTAGGGCACAACTCCAGAAATCAGATTGACTTCAGTTTTTTTTAAAGATAATATCAATTATCACCACATGAGGGTAGCCTTGCTCCAAAAAATGGTGATATTTAGTTATGTGAAAGCTTGAACAAAAAGTGGAAATAGAGACACCTGAACAAGATGCTTCAGGAATTAAGTAGGTAGGTAAATAAATAGGTAGATAGACAGACAGCAGACAGACAGACAGACAGACAGACAGACAATCAAACTGATATATTAGGGGTGACATAATAGCTATCTTCCAGTACTTGAGGGGCAGCTACAGAGAAGAGGGATTTATAGATTAACAGAGTTGGAAGGGACCTTGTTGGTCATCTAGACCAATCCCCCACCCAAGCAGCAAACCCTACACCATGTCTGACAAATGGCAGTCCAGTCTCTTCTTGAAAGCCTCCAGTGATGAAACTCCCACAACTTCCAAAGGCAACTTCTGTTCCATTGGTTGATTGTTCTCATTGTCAGAAAATTTCTCCTTATTTCCAGGTGAATTTCTCCTTGGTCAGTTTCCATCCATTATTCCTCGTCTGGCCTTCAGGTGCCTTGGAAAATAGCTTGACCCCTTCCCCTCTGTGGCAGCCCCTCAAATATTGGAAGACTGCTCTCATGTCTCCCCTGGTCCTTCTCTTCACTAGACTAGCCAGGCCCAGTTCCTGCAACCTTTCTTCATATGTCCCCTAATCATCCTGGTTGCTCTTCTCTGTACTTTTTCTAGAGTCTCAACATCTTTTTATAGTGTGGTGACCAAAACTGGATGCAGAATTCTAGGTGTGGTCTTACTAAGGCTTGATAGAGTGGTATTAGTATCTCCCTTGATCTTGATTGTATCCCTCTGTGAATGCAATTTAGGATTGCATTGGCTTTTTTGGCTGCAGCTGCACACTGTTTCTCATATTTAATTGTTGTCCACCAATTAGTCTGTAGTCTGGCTAGTCTCTAGGACAGCAGAGGGGAAGATAAGAAGTAATGGGTGGAAGCTTGTTAAAGAGAGAGCCAACCTGGAATTAAGAAGCAATTACCTGGCAGGACAACCAGTGGAAAAACTTGAATAGACTGGACAACATTTGTCCAGGTAGATCTCCTGCTTTGAGCAAGGGGTTGGGCTAGAATACTTCCAAGGCCCCTTCCAGCCCTGTGACTAAGTGTTCTGTTTCATATCATTGTTAATCAAAACCTAATGTATGGCTGGCTCAGGAATTCTGGGAGTTGAAGCCCACAAGTTTTAAAGAGGCCACAGTTGCTCACTCATGCTCCATTAAGTGAAAATTAAACACATGGACCCAATATATTTAATCCCAGGCCAGTTTGGGAGAAAATATACTAAAATGTGATTTCAATGGTGAATGGCTAGAATTCTTCATCCTTTTCTATACTACTTAACAGCTAATGGGTGATTTGGAATTTAGATACTTTGTGTGTAAGAAAGCTGAATAATGGTTTCAAGATCGGGTAGTGTTTTCTCCAATCTGCCACCACCTTCCCAAATTCTGCGATCAACAAGTGCAAAATTGTTGCCATAGCATCCTTGCTGCTATGTGGACAAAATCCATGCTTCAGGGAGTTGGTGTGTTTTGGTGCCCAGGAGGAGGAACAGAAGCAAATCACACCCACAGAAGTTGTATCCACAAAACTAACAGGTCTAGATTAAATTGCGGCCAGGTCTTTTGTAGTTCAGCAAATTTTGGCAACTTATCTATTGGTTGATTCCCACCTTCAATATTCTTTGCTAAGTTTGACAGTTGCCATGAAAGGCTGAACAATCCCCCCCCCCCGTTAAGATTTTCTGCAAGTCCCAGGGTCCTAAACCAACATGGAACTTGGGCAGTATATAAATTTGATAAATTATTATTATTGTTGTTGTTGTTGTTATTATTTTTAAGCATCTTTTATTCTGCAAGTCCTAGACTTGGAGCCTTTTCTTAAGAACCACCAGCGATGAAGCAGCCACCTTCACACCACCTTAAAAAGATGGGACTGGCTAATCCTACCTGCCTGCATGCTATTTTTCCCACCATGTTGCTTCCTTCCACAATCCCCTGACTTCTAAAGTAGCTCATCCTGGTTCTATCAACAACCATCCTGAAACCCTACAAATTTTCCTGGCTGGGTAAAAAAGTAGAGACAACTTCAAATTGAGTCACCTTGAGTGATTTCATACCCAGTTGTCTTGGCAGTAGTTTGGTGAGGTGTGATCAACAAAGTCAAGATAATGACTGTAGCTAGTCCTTGACTTACAACCATTTGTTTAGCAACTGACATATAACATCACTGAAAAAAAAAAAAGACTTATGACCAGTTCTTGCACTTACAACCATTACAGCATTTCAATGGTCAAATTCGGGCCCTTGACAACTGGCATGTATTTATGACAGTTGCACTGTTCGGGGATTACGTGATCCATCATTTTTGACCTTCCCAGTAGGCTTCCAACAAGCAAAATCAATGGGGGAAATGAGATTCACTTAATGACTGTGTGATTTGCTTAATGAACAAAGTGATTTGCCTAACAACTGTGACAAAAAGGTTGTAAAATGGGGCAAAACTCATTTAACAACTGCCTTGCTTAGGGATGGAAATTCTGATTTGAGTTGTGTTTGTAAGTTGAGGCCAATCTTCGATCAAAACTTTGCCTGTTATTTGCTGATCAAAACAGGCAGAGCTGTGATGCATTATCATGGCCCAATATTTCTGTTCCAGCTGTCAGATCCGTGTATCTGCCATTCTTCAATGGAAGAAGAAGGGGGGGGAGTTGGTACAAGTAATCCTTTTTGATGTAACCTGAATATATTAAATCTTATATCGAATCTGTATAACTTGCACATGATATACAACTGGAGGACTGGAGCCAGATGTCTAGAAACTTGTCACCTCTTGGAGAGATAGCAAGAGGAGAAGGGACCATAAAAAATCCAGCTTTGGAAGATACTCCCTCGGAACTCTTCTAAGATACATTCCCAGAGAAGGGGAGGGGGGAATTAACGTGTTGGTTCTTTGTTTGACTAAATCCACATCTAAATAAGGGGAGGGATTGTAACTCCCTTTATCTATTACTGTATGCCTGGAAGCATCTTAGATTCTGCTTTGACTAGTACTGGGATCACTTC